CCACACTGGGATTCAGTGTGGAATAACAGCAAAAATAATCCTGACCTCATACTGCTTAGAAGATTGCCAAAATGTGAACATAGATTAAATCATGACTCAGAGATGACTTTCTAAAATTATGGGTTGCTCCCTGGCCAGTGTGGCTGGCTTAGTGGATTGATATCTACCTTGAGAACCAAGAGATCACTGATTCGATTCCTGGCAGGGCACATACCTCAGTTGTGGGCCAGGTCCCCAGCTGGGGGTGTGTGAGAGGCAGTGATTGATGTTTCTCTCCCCCTCTTTAAAAATAAATAAAATGATGGATTGCTATTCATGGGAAGAAAGTCAGACAATAGTGATAATGACATCTGGAGGCTTGTCCGTGTTTGGAACTGCTCTACTAGAAACACACTTGAAACTCTAAAGTAAAATCCAAAAGATAACTTGGGCATTGCAAATCTTGTTTTTCTTTCTCTCCTTTCTTTTTAGCAAAAGGAAAGAAAATGACCTGGGAATACCCTGAATTGGAACGGCACTGGTAGACTTAAAATTGAGTTGCCAAAGGTTCATGGTATTTGGCAAAGAGTGCGTGATACACAATGTTTTGAGAAAGGTAGAAAGGAAAATAGGTGGTAGCTTCTTCTGGCAGGTGATGAGGGCCACAGCAATGATCAAAACTTTTTAAAAAAGATTTTATTTATTTATCTTTAGAGAGGAAGGGAAGGAGACAGGGAGAGAACTATCAGTGTATGGTTGCCTCTCATGCATCCCCTGCTGGGAACTGGCCTACAGCCCAGGCATGTGCCCCTGACTGGGAATCGAACCACGACCCAAATTTCTCTCACCTCTAATAAACTGAAGAGCAAAACTGTGCCTTATAGAAAGAGCTGTTTTTTTCTTATTGTCCCCTAATCAATTGAAAATCTATTCATTTCCTTTAAGGAGTTTATGTCAGTATTTTCATGGGCTCATGGTTTTACATAAGCACTCAGTGGCTTACCTTTGTAACCTAAATCATCCCAGGGCCAGGTACCAGGCACCGTAACTCAAAGTCCACTGGAATTGTTCAGACTGGCCAATCTTCAGGTCTTGACTACCCTGCCTTATTTTTCCCACAAAAGATACAATTAAGACTCTGGCCTAGGTATTCCCATGGTTCCAGCCTCTACCTACTAATGAAAACCTGGTATTTTTTTTCTGTGCCTCTCATTTCTAGGGGAATTGTGAATAACAGTAAACTTTTTTCTATGATGTTACTGTGCTGTCACTCACACATTTATAAATTAAGACCTGGGCACAAGTCAGCCTCATTTGCCTGTATAATATTACACATCATTCTCTATTTCCTGGTGTCTTCATCTTCTCTCTTTTCCATGTGCCTACCACATTCTAACATTGCATATAACTGTTTCTTTTTTTTCTATCTCTTCCTCTTTTTAAAAATATTTATTTATTTATTTATTTATAGAGGGGGGAAAGGGTGGGAGAAAGGGACAGAAACATCAATGTGTGGTTGCCTCTCACGCCCCCTACTGGGGACCTGGCCTGTAACCCAGGCATGTGCCCTGACTGGGAATCAAACTGGGGCCCTTTGGTTCACAGGCTGGCGCTCAATCCACTGAGTCACACCAGTCGGGGCCTCCTCTTCTGTCTTTCTTAAATACAGTGTAAGCTGCTTGATAGCTGGGGTACTCGTCTCTTGTTTTCAAAGTTGTCTCACAGCTGTGTGCTCAGTTTCATTCTCTCACTTCTCAGACTTCAGTGTCCTCAGTGTCCAATTTTGCTGACATTTTAACTGTTTGCATCTGTCACAGATACGTTTCCCAGAGCCATTCCTGCATCTATCTGAGTATAACTATACAATTATTATTTTCAAAAAATATTTTTAAATATTTTATTTTTAGAGAGATTCGAAGGGAGGGAGAAAGAAAGGAAGAGAAACATTGATGTGTGAAAGATACATGAACTGGTTGCCTCTCCCACACCCACAACCAGGGACCTGTCCCACAACCTACGCATGTTCCCTGACCAGGAATCAAACCAGCGACCCTTTGGGTTATAGGCTGCGCTCAATCCACTGAGGCATACCAGCAAGGGCGACTGTACAATTATTATTAATGACTTTTGGTAACTTAAACAATTCATAAATATTTGTGTTTTGTTTTCTCTTTCCCCCCTCTTTTTTTGGCTTATCATGTATAATCTCAACTCCCAAGCCAGACACTGTCCCTATAATTACAAGTGAAATGAGAATTCCCAGCAAAGAAATGAGATTGTGCTATTACCAGAGAGACCTGAGTTAGGGCGCTGTCCCTTCTGGGTTTTTGCCTTGTTCACAAGAGATGAATTCAGTTGAGAGACAACACATATAGTGGAAATGAGATAGTAAGTTTATTTGTGAAATATACGAACACAAAGCTGCAAGTGTTTGCAAGTAACTAGTCTGAGTATACTGACTATTGTGATTTTAGGAGTTCTGTGCTTGTAGCCAGCTTCCAGGTTCCCCCTCTGCTTCCTCTCTCCAAACCTTGGGAGTAATACACAGTTTTAAAGGCTGTCTTTCCCAGGTAGTGAAAATGATACAAATAGAATCTCAATGGCTCCCTTCCTTCTGTACTTTCATGGTTTTTCTTGGGATGTTTGGAACACCTGGCAATCTTACCAGACAAGGCTCAGGACTGCTGAGTTCATGGGTGAGACATGTCTCCCTCCCTCTTCCTGCCTTGGTTCACTGTCCTAATAATGGTGTTCCAGATCTTTATTTCCATGCCCAGATGTCACCTTTGCAAATGTGCTGCCACTATGACTATGTCAGCCACTGTCCTGACACAGAAGAGCACTTGTAATGGTTCTTTTCAGATAGGCAGTACATTCCTAATAGGAAATAAATATATCTCGGCTGTTGGGCTAAGAAATACCTTTTGGGGTGCTGCTCCCTGGGTTGGATACTATCAGTGACTATACAGGCAAGAAAGGCAACTTTCTCGCATTCCTCTTTTTCCCCAGGGTTGTATCAGAAATCATTTCCGAGGAAACCAGAGTGTCCAAATAATAATAAATGGAGCCATTTTAAAATAGAGTTGAGCCCTGATAAGTGCGGCTCAGTTGATTAAGCATCCTGCTGCAAAGCGAAAAGTCACCTGTTCTTAATTCCCAATTAGGGCGCATGCCTGGGTTGCTAGTTTGGTCTCAGGTCAGGGCAAATACAAGAAGCGATTGATGTTTCTCTTTGATATCAATCTTTCTTTTCCTCTCTCAAAAATTAAAAAAATGGAGTTGTAGCTGCCATGCCAAAGGAACTGCCTTGCATGTCTTATGCCTTAAACATTAAAAACAATTTATTTTTAGAGAGAAGGGAAAGGAGGGAGGAAGAGAGGCAGAGAAACATCCATCAACCACCTCTTGCACCAGGGACTTGGCCCACAATACAGGCATGTGCCCTGACTTGGAATCGAACCAGGGACATTTGGGTTTGCAGGCCAGCATTCAATCCTCTAAGACACACCAGCCAGGAAGCCTTAAAGTTTTTGATGTCAAAACAGGATAAAATGGACTTGAAGAACATGCTAATTGAAATAAGCCAGTCAGAGAAAGACAAGTAATATATGATTTCACTCATAGGCAGAATCTAATGAACAAACTGAACTAACAAGCAAAACAAAGACAGGCTCATAAGTGGGGGGAGGGGAGTATATGAGAAATAAATGGTAATAGAAAAAATACAGTAACGGTTAAATAAAAATGTATGTTTTAAAAGATTTTATTTATCTTTAGAGGGGAAATGAAGGAGAGAAATATCAATGTATGGTTGCTTCTTGTTCGTCCCCTGCTGGAAACTGGCCTGCAACCCAGGCATGTGCCCTGACTGGGAATCGAGCCACGATCCTTTGGTTCACAGGCCTGTGGTCAATCTACTGATCTACACACCAGCCAGGGCTATAAAATATTTTTTAAAAAAGAATTTATAAAGCCCTGTCACATGTTTAGGTTTTTCAGCAATACAAATTCTCTTTTAAATAATTTTTTTAAAGGAGGGCGGGCAAAAACGACCCTTGGGCTGGGCCTAATCAGGGACGTCCAACCTGCAGCCTTCCGGATGTATGTTGCCCAGGATATCTATGAATGTGGCCCAATACAAAATCATAAATTTACTTAAAACCTTTTTTTGTTTTGCTTATCAATTTTCATTAGTGTTTGCGTATTTAGTATGTGGCCCAAGACATCTCCTTTCAGTGTGGCCCACAGATGCCAAAAGGTTGGACACCCCTGACCCTCAAGCAACCTTGTGGCCCTAAAACAAAGAACTTTTCCAAAATAACGAGAAACCAGTTGTTATTACTGGACTCACGACTACCTGACTGAAAATTAGTGTCATTATATTACGTTATCTGCACCGATAGCAGTGCCTTCTTTCCACTGATGTAATTGTTCCCCTTCCCTTTCTCATCAATACCCTTCGCCTTTGTCTCCCAAAGGGAATACTACTTGGGCTTCTGTCTGAATCGGTGCTTCCCAAATAGCTATTGTCACTGTTATCAAATAAACGCTTGTATCCTCTTGAAAAAGCTTTTTGTTTTTAGGTTATCAAGTAGAAGTACTGCAGGTAGTCACTTGCTCCAGAGAGCCCCAACCTCACTCCTCCTCCTCCCATTCCACAGACCTCTGTGAGGACAACTCTTGCCACTAACCAAACCGAATGTACCAAAACTTAAAGCTTCCTTCCCTCCACACATATTTAAAGAACAAAGACATAGGAGTGAACTCTGCGACTTTTCCTGTGGCACTCCAGTTTGGTTCCGTGGCTTTGGGAATATCTCAGAAACATGTCTATAAATATTACTTCCACCACATACGAGAGGCGTGAAGTGGAGGGTCCATTTCCCAGCACCCCTCGCGGTACCAGAGGGAGTCGGATTCGGGGTACTATGCCTAGTGGACTACATTGCCCAGAAGCCTCTGCGTCGCACGGTGGGGTGCTATGGTTGGCATTTCATAGTGCCTGGGCGGGACTTCCGGCGTCTTCCTCGCCGCGGACATCTTTTGGCTCTAGGATGGCACGGTCAGCAAGCTACAGTTCGGTTGACGAAAGCGGGGAGAGACCCCGTTGTCACTAGGAAGAGGCTCTGCAGTGGCAGCGACCGCGGAGATCTGCGTCAGGACTCAGAATCCTCATGGCTCTGCGCTGTCTAGGCCGCGATGGCGGCGGCTGCGGGGGATGGGCCCTGCCTAGGTAGGTGCTGTGTCCCGGACGGTGATTCTGCCTAATTCTCACCTCCGAATCCTAAGCCCCAGAATGAGTGAGCGGTCGCTGTTGAAATCACTGCAGCCCAGGCCGTTTGTGGATGGACACCCCATATCCAACACCCAGTGGGATGAGACGTGGGAGGAGCGACTGAACCTGGAGCGTTCTAGAAACTGCAGTCCTGCTCTGTGCGAGAGTAGGAGCGTGTGAGCACTAGTCGTGGCAGGAGTGGCAGGTTGAAGCGAGTGCCTTTACTGCGGGGACGCTAGTATTCCAGTGGACTGGGGAGGGGTGGGGATCCTGCGGATGGAGACAGGAGGCAGCACACACCAGCAGTGTGGTGGTGGCGGCAGTACCAGAGCAGGGGCAGGAGGGGTTGAGAGTGGGGAAATCATTCAATCCTAGAGAAGTTTCCCAGATAGAAGTAACAGGATTTGATGCTTGGCCAGATATGGCTGTGAATGAAAATAGGGCATGAGGGGCTATTCCAAGTTTTTTGTTTGTTTTTCTTTCGAACATCTGAAAGACTGGGAATGGGTAAGTTGGAGCAGGACGCACCTTTCAGGGCTATCAGGAGTTGGATTTTGGACATGGTAAGTCAGAGGTGTCTTACAGTGGAGGTGTTACATGGGCATCTGGTTGTGCAATTCTGTAGAGTGAACTGAGCTGGAAACCTCTAAGGAATGAGGTCTCAGGTCAAACCATGGAGATCAGATTTAGGGGAAGAATTTTGAGGATGTTATTTAATGTGGCCCCTAAGGTGAGAGATTTGAGGGCATGGGAGAAGGGATGAATATTCTTGAGATTTCTAGAAAGAAGGGGTCCTGGCATTGGAAAAGGATCTGGCTGATGTGAGCAGGAGAAGAGTGCTATAGGGTATTAGGAGCCTGACCTGGAGGGAGAGTAAGATGTGAGGTGCTGTAAATTTGCCATGGTGTAGATTCATCATGCCCCATAAGCACTTCCTGTGGAGCAGAGGAAAAGTCTGCCAGGCTAGTGGAGCAGCTCCAGCCCAGTCCAGGGCCTTGGTACATCCGTTTCTTAATTCTGCAGGTGAGAAGAGATGGTGAACATCTATAATGAAGGGCCACTAGCAGGCTTACCTTCAGAGGTGTATGTGCCAAGTAGGCTGGTTTGGTGAAAGACTAGTGTACACTTGGCAAGTATATACACATAAGCAGACAGTTTAATGTTAGAATATATAGATAGGATAAATCAGATTTATAACCATCCTTAATAATTGATTGAAATTCATTCCTCTAAATATGTCATTACAATGAGAGTCTCAAATGTCACATTTTCTTAAAAGATTAAAAACAAACACACTTTCAAAAATCACTTCATTTGCAACAAAACCATTTGCAAGTGTTAAACTTACAGACAGTAAAAGGTAATTCAGAGGTACTTAACCTGTACTAACATGTCTGATATTAAACAGCAGCCCTGTTAAGTGAAGACCACTAAAGCTGAAAATGACAGCTTTACAGATGAGGACACTGAGGCACAGATCTTTGTTCAAGGTTACACAGATGGTACCAGGTGACACTAAGGTGTGAGTGTCTGAGGTCAGACAGCCTGAAATCATCCTCACCAAAGGGCAGGGAGGAGTTAGGGAAACAGTCCATTTGACACCACTGTGGTAACTCCCCCTCCCTCATCCTCCAGGTTGCTGTGGCAAAAATGCTCAAGATACTTACATAGGTGACTAGAGAATGTGCATGTGGTCTTCATTCAACCCACCTTCACGCGTATATCTAGCGACTTAGTATGGTGAATGGTGTCCCAGGACTCTGAATCTATCTTCTGTCTGCCACTGAGTTTGGGGATCCCTGTGTCACCAAAGGTCTTGAGCCCTGACTTTATTCTTGAGTTACATGAAAGGGTTTTATTTCTAGCAGTAATGGGATAAAGTTGGGAACAATGTCCCAGGCACAGGAACTAGCGTATGCAAATGTATCACTTGAGGTTGCGCTGGAGTGTTCCGAAAACCTCAGGTCTCCATTATATCTGGTGTGATCAGAGAGTTGGAGACAGTATTCAATTTTGAAATGACACCCTGTTGAGCTGGACTTAACATTCTGAGAGTGGTTAGAGCCATGGAAGGTTTGCAACAGTGGAGGGAGGGATTTTCTCATGTGGAGGGTGGGAAAAAGAAGAGAGGAGTTAGAGATCACTCCTCAGTTTTTGGCCTGATAAGCTAGAAGAATAGTTCTCAGTTGAGATAATGAAACATCTGAGTGAAGTTGACAAATGGACAGCTGGACCTATGGGTTTAGAGTTCAGAGGAGGGATTCAAGTGGGAGACATCCACAAGGTGGCAGCCGGTATGTGGATTAGGGTAGAACTGTGTATCAGATTTGTAGGGAGAACCTTTATGTTATGGTGAAATTGCCATTAGTAGTCTGGAAAGTGGGTGGGCGCAGAAGATTGGGAGAGTCACCTGAGAGACAAGAAATGGTTAGTATTTGTGTTGGTGTGGGAGTTGGGGGGAAATACAGTCTGACAGGTGGTGAAGTCTTCCAGAGAAAGAGTGGACATGAGATGCGTGCTGGGGTGCAGTAGTAAAAGAGATTAAATGAAAGCGAGGTCAGAGCTGATGCTTATTTCCCTCTCTGTGCTTCCCAGGCTTTTGTGGTGACGTTTGATGGGATGTGGAGTTTCAGTCAAGCTGGCAAATTAGCTCAGGGACAATTGAGCCCATTGGTGGATCACTACTCATGGGATAGAAGGCCAATGGGTGTGGCCTTAAATGAGTGTTTAGTGTTATGACTGATGAGGATATAGTATTCTCAGTGTGCAACAGCAAAGTACAAAAGGACTGGATGTGTCTGATATTGGTACCTGGTTCCGGATTGCTGAAGTTCAGTGAAGTAGCAGAGGATTGACTAGCTAGGTTCACGGGGCCTGAGTTGGTTAGAGTGTTGACCCAATACACCACAGTTGTAGGTGACCCTAGATAAGAGGGAAATGTGATCTAAACTTAGAGTGACCATATGTGGGGATGGAATCTTAATTTATGATACTGGGGGCTCTAGGGGGAATGCTAAGCTCAAAATTTGTATATGAGGGGCATAATCTCTGGACTCCAGGGAAGGGTTGGGCCCTGCATCCCAGTCCCAGACTAGGCAGTGTCTGTCTACCTTCCAACCAGCCTGGTCTAGGCTAGACAATGATTCATGGAAAATGAGGGAAAAGCAGGCACCATTCACACAAAGGCCCTGTATCTTGTCTGACTTGGGCAGCTGGGTAAGAAGGTGAATATGTGGTGAATATACCAGGAGTCCTGGGGAGACAGGCTGCCCTCGTCATGTGGGGTCATGTGGCTTTTGAGGATGTGCTTGTGTTTTTCTTTTGGGAGGAGTGGGGATTACTTGATAAGGTTCAGAGACTCTCTGTGTGCTTTGCCCTTGGTCATCCTGTAAGATTCTGTGTGTTGTAGTTTTTGAGTCTGTGCTCTGCTCTTCCTTCTTGTAGCTGAACCATGGGCACTGCTGTTTTCCCTCATTTTCTCAGATAGGTTCTCAGAGTTTGGCCGTAATGTGTACTGTATACTGTCTCTTCTTCCTGTGCTCTCCAGCACCTGCTGCCCTAAACTGTTGGCTGAAAGGGTGTCAGGGTCAGGAGTTTTGTAGTCAGCTCAATGGATACTACCCTGTTTGGCTTCTCCCAGGCTGGATTGCTTTGTCCCTGGTCCCTTTCTTTAATTGATACTTCCCTGGACCTATTTGTGTCATGAAGTACAGTCATGGTCATTACTTGTGGGACCCACGGGGTTGTTTCTTTAAGATACTGATCGCCAATAGGTAGGCTGCCCTTGAGAAGTACTTTCTCACTCACTGGCCCTCTTTCCTCTATGACTTGTATCTTCCAGATCATCTGTGGTTGCTGAATAGTAGCCAGGGAAAGAACTCTTGAGTACCCGACTGAGAGGTCATGACTCTAGCCACAGCAGAGGGGGCTTGGATGGGCCCTGGTAAGTGAGAGCCTGGGGAGTGTGGGACTTAAGGGTTGGGTTAAAGTAGCACCAGAAAACTGTCTTGTGCCCACTATCGTTTGGCTCCCAGGCCATACCTTATTTCTGTTTTTCCTCCTCGTTCTGGACACTTTACACACTTGTCATTTCCATTCTGACTTGTGACCCGGAGCTCTCCACCCCACTCACCAGTGTGCTCTGTTGCCCCCTCTGTAGCCATTTCCTATATTGGACAATGCTCACGTATCTGAGACGTACAAATACCTTTAAATAGTTCTTCACTACCAGTTACTAGTTTTAGGTTAGGTTTTCCTGGGCCTGGACATACATTTCGGTATAGCACTCACTTGTTACCAATAGGCCCTTTTAAAAGTCAATTTGCAAGGAGGAAGTGGGAGATCCTGCCTGCTTCTGCCTAAGCTATGTCTCAGCCTTGTATCTTTGTCCTTTGTGAGACCTTCCCCATTTTGTGATCCTTAGAGCCTAGTAATGCCCAGCAGCTCCTTCTTTAACCTGATCCCAAATCTGTCATCTTGCCAATCACTTACTTCATGAACTCAGTTCTGAGTATGCTAGACACACTCTTTTGATGGGGTTGTCCCTCTCACCAAAGTCAGTGTGCACTTCTGCAGCATTTTTCTGCCCTCAGGTTGTTGGCTTGGAGTGAAGGATGAGGAGGCAGCATCTGAGCAGAGCAAGTCTGGGGAAGTGTCACATCTTCATAATACTTCCGAGGCAGGTTCATCAGTCCAGATGGCTCATCCTTGTAATATATGTGGCCCTATCTTGAAAGATGTTTTGTGCCTGCATGAACACCAGGAAACACACCATGGACTGAAACCTTACACATGTGAGGCATGCGGGAGACGGTTCTCATTTGGTACAAACTTCCTTCAGCACCAGAAGCAGTACAATGTAGAGAGATCCTTAAGGAGAGACAAAGGCAAGACCTCATTCTTGAAGAACTGCAGAGTTTGTGAAGAACCTCATCTGTCAGAGAAATCATATACATGTGAGGAAGAACAGAAAAACTTCCAGGCCTGTTTGGGCAGTCACCAGCAAAAGGCAACCCGAAGCAAGAGGAAGACAAGCGGCAATGAGGGTGGGGAGGCCTTTCACATTGGACAGATGCCTTATAGCTGCAGCGAATGTGGGAAAGCCTTCAGCCGCAAAGACACACTTGTTCAGCACCAGAGAATCCACACTGGAGAAAAGCCTTATGAGTGTAGTGAGTGTGGGAAAGCCTTCAGTCGCAAAGCCACACTTGTGCAGCACCAGAGAATCCACACTGGAGAGAGGCCTTATGAGTGTAGCGAGTGTGGGAAATCCTTTAGCCGCAAAGACAACCTTACACAGCACAAAAGAATTCACACTGGAGAAATGCCTTATAAGTGTGGTGAATGTGGAAAATATTTTAGCCATCATTCCAATCTGATTGTGCACCAGAGAGTTCACAATGGAGCAAGGCCTTATAAGTGCAATGATTGTGGGAAAGTCTTCAGACACAAATCTACACTTGTTCAGCATGAGAGCATCCATACTGGAGAAAACCCATATGTTTGCAGTGATTGTGGAAAATCCTTTGGCCACAAGTACACCCTCATTAAACACCAGAGAATTCACACTGAGACAAGGCCTTTTGAGTGCATTGAATGTGGGAAATTTTTTAGTCGAAGCTCTGACTTTATTGCACACCAGAGAGTGCACACTGGTGAAAGGCCTTTTGTGTGCAGCAAATGTGGGAAAGATTTCATAAGAACCTCCCATCTTGTTCGGCACCAAAAAGTTCACACTGGAGAAAGGCCATACGAGTGCAATGAATGTGGGAAATCTTATAGCTTAAGCTCCCACCTCATTCGGCACCAGAAAGTTCACACTGCAGGAAGGCTTTAGGAATGCTGTCAACAGAACAGCACTCATTTGGAAAGGGGCTCTGATTTCTCTTTGAGAGGAAGACTTTAGTCAGATGTTGACCTTCATATATCTGAACATTAACATTGGGGAGATACTATATAACTGATGGGTACAAGGCAAGTTTTCAGAGGCTATATTGCACTTTCAGACCTGCTCAGGCTCCTTGCCAGATTTCTGAGTGTCAGTGTCTGGTGGAAAACATTTCAGCTCTATCAACTAAGTTGTCCTGATATCCTCAGAGAAGGCAGAACTTTGTTACTGTCTCCAATCTCTGGGGGAATTAGAATAAACCTGAGTTAAGTGAGGGAGGGGACTCATTTTCTCCTTGCTGACTGGGAAAGGTGTGGACATGACCTGTGTTTATCGAAGAGGACCTGAGTTGTGTTCTGCTAGCATGAAAGGTTTATTTCCCTCATGGACATTGTTTGTCTCGTGATAGTGTTGATGGATTTTTCCAGACTTCCAAGCTACTCAGCCTGAAGAACTACTTGCCTCATGTTGCTCTGATTTGTGTGATAATAAAGACATTATTTGAGCCACCTTTAGTTTTGAAGGTTGTTTTTAGTGTTTCATTGGTTTGAAAACAATTAAGCTTTGCCAAACTGAAGAGGTGTAGAGTATAGGTGCTTCCAACTTTGTGTGCTTCAAACGAGACAGCAGGATGGCAGAGAACAGTTCTCAGTCCAGCAGTCCAGCTTTGGTATTGATTTCCATTGCTGAGAAAAGATTTTTTTTTAGTAAATTCTCAATCAAGAAGAAATACAAAATTTAAAAACAACATATTGGGTACTGGCTAGTGTGGCTCAGTAGATTGAATTCTGACCTGCGAACCAAAGAGTTGCTGGTTTGATTCCCAGTCAGGATACATGCCTAGGTTGCAGGCCAGGTCCCCAGTAGGGACATGAGAGGCAACCACACACTGATGTTTCCTCTTCCTCCCTCTCTCTTTCTAAAATCTTTTTTTTTTAATTGGAAATTTTAGGATAAAGTAGCTATCATTACAATAAAAGTATGTAAAATATTTAATTCCTAAAACAAGTAAGTCAAGGAAAAGTGGGAAATAAGTGTGGCAAAAAATTATTACAGTAGTGCTCTGGCTGGTGTGGCTCAGTGGGTTGAGTGCAGGCCTGCAAATCAAAAGTGGCCTTTGATTCCCAGTCAGGGCACATGCCTGGGTTGTAGGCCAGGTCCATGATGGGGTCATATATGAGAGGCAACTATACATTATTTTTCTTCCTTTCTCCCTTCACCTCTATAAGTAGATAAAATCTTTTTAAAAATTAAAAAAAATTAAATGGGAAAGTGCTTTGAAAAAGAAAATAACACTAATCAAAAGGAGAAAGCACAAATATATGTAATTAGAATTAACAGTTAACCAAAATAATAGTATCTCATTGGAACTTCTAGCCTTTTTTAAAACTCTTACTCAAAATTAAGCTATTCACAATTTAGATGTGAAGAAAACCAATGTAAAGAACTTTAATACTAGGTTACCTAGAGAAACACTAGGATAAAACAAGTTTTACCAGAGGGCAGAGTTGCCTGCTTTTTTTTTTTAATTTGTTGGGGGTGACAGTTAATAAAACCTTACAGGTTTCAAGTGTACAACACAATTGCATACTACATTGAGTTCTCACTTCCCAAAGTAAAGTCTGTCCCCATTTATCTCTGCCTTCTTCCATCTGCCCCGACCACCCCCTTTCCCTCTGGTATTGTCTGTGTATCATATGTATATATATTTTATTTTAAATTACTTTTTTCACCCAACCTCCTTCCCCTCTGACAGCTATCTGTCTATATAGCTATTCTGTTTCTTTTTTGTTAGATTATTCTTTAGATTCTACACATAAGTGAAGTCATATGGCATTTATCTTTCTCTGGCTTATTTCACTTAGCATAATACTCTCCAGGTTCATCACAAAAGGTAAGATTTCCTTTCTAGCGGTTCAGGGATATTATTCCAATGTGTAAATGTACCACACAGTTTTTTTGTTTTTTAAATCTTCATCTACTGTTGAGCACTTGGGCAGTTTCCAGATCTTGGTTATTGAAAATAATACTGCAGTGAACATAGGGGTGCATATATCCTTTCAAATTAGTGTTTTGGGTTTGTCTGGATATGTTCTCCCAAGTGGAATTGCTGGATCAAAGGGCAGTTCCACTTTTAATTTTCTGAGATTACCCCACAGTATTTTCCACAGTGGCTACATCAGATTGTTCTACCAATCATTTGTGAGAGTTCCCTTTTCTCCACATCCCTGCCAGTGCTTGTTGTGTGTTGATTTATTAATGACAGCTATTCTGACAGGTTGTGAGGTGGTATCTTACTGTTTTAATTTGCATGAGAAAAGCTTGTTAGATGAGAATTTGGGTTCAGTTGGACTGATTTTCTCTGAGTTTCAGAATTATTTGAGAGCTCAGATACCACTTTAAGGAAGGTGCTGTTGTAACAACCTACAATGTGTTTGGAAACAACATGGATTGAGTGTCTTGTTTCTAGCATATGACTCATATCCTCAGCACTGTTGAGTACAAGTTGTCGTTTAGAACCTGAAAAGCGTGATATGCCCTGAAGGCCAGAATCTGGTACACAAGTCACTGGCTGTAAGACCTAGTCTGTCCAGGGAGGAAACATTGATACAGAAATGCTGAGTGTGAATAATTGGGACTGGAGAGACTGCAGCAAAGTGGTTGGTTGTACCATTTGTAAAAACACATTGGTAAACATGTCTGTCACCATGGCCATATGAGGTCTGGGTGTCTGGAAATTCTCAGGATCTCCAGGGTTATCATTCATGTGACTAAGGTCAGCAGCAGAGTAAAGAATGTGAAGTTTTCCTCAATACCTGTGCCTCCCTGGACTGTACCTGATGTCTTGGCTGCAGGGGCAGGAACCCTGGGACTGAGAGTAGAGTGAGATTGTGGTCCATGGATGTAGATTTTGTGACCAGCCAGTTTCTGATGACTCACCAGGAAACACCCTTCATTCCTTGTCAGTTTTTCTTGCTTGCTACTGAGAAAGAGGTTCTCTTCCAAGGTATTTGGAATGAGATGGCAGAGTGAGTATACTGTGGTGTGGGCCCAGCTCCCACTCAGAGATGTACAGGACCCACACCCACAGATAGGTTCCCCCATCAGTGGGGAATCGGGCCTGCAATGTACCTAGGCCTCATTGAGACTTGCTTTTGCTAAAACTCCCTCACCCTGAATTGAGATAGAAAGTGCTTACTGTAACTTCCTAAAATGCTAACATGCTAAAACTCCCTAGTATGGAGTGTAATGAGTTCAACCACTTTTCCCTTTGCATTTGCAAATATCCTTCTGTGTTGTGATTAGCAGCATTGGCTCCTTGTTTTCTGTAAAAGGTAACCACCTAAAGCCAACCTGTGCATAGTAAATGAGGACCATCTTGTAATGTGCTGAGAAACACAGTAAAGGCCGATGATGGGAAGGGCTGCAGCTTTTTCTCCCCTTTATAGAAAAGCCATGCTCGCCCTTTTTCTCCACAAGACTCGGTAGTCCATGTGAATGTCTCGTGTCTCATCCATAACGCTGAGGAGACTGCCGGCCAGTGTCTGTGTCAATGCTCAATATTCTGGTTTTCTAGTAGAAGTGGGGGACCCATACTTCTAGGTAGAATAATTTTTTAATACTTTCTTTGAAATGTAGTCAACATACAGTATAAAGTGCACAATTTGGTAAACCTTAGAATACACATGAAAGCATCCTAGCCATAATACTGAACATATCCATCACCTCCAGAGTCACCTCATACTCGGTCATTTGTTCTTCCAGATTCTAAATATTAAAAATAAAGCTGCTGCAAATACTCATGTAAAGGTCTTTTTTGGACATTTAGCTCAGGAACTCAACAACAGTGTTGAAAGTGGCCTTATGTCTTCTTACTGATTATAGTAAAGTGTGACGGAAGAGAAGTATAGGGACGAACTGTTGAATAGAAAAGACTTGATGATCTGGGAAATTCTCAACCCATCTTGACTGCAAGAGGCATTGCAACAAAGAGATTTGTGGTGAAGAAAACATGTTATAGAGAAATAGCCACGGATGTGGCTACACACCTCTTATAATATCAGCAAGATTAAAAAAAAAAGATCAGAATATTAATTCACAATTCCCAGTCAGGGCACATGCCTGGGTTGCAGGCCAGTTCCCAGCAGGGGACATGTGAGAGGCGACCGACCATACATTGATATTTCTCTCCCTTTCTCCTTTCCTTCCCTTCTAAAGATAAATAAAATCTTTATTTAAAAAAAAGAAAAAATACATTAATTCATATAAAAATCAGAGAGCATCTAGTAGGCTTAAAGTTGTCCTTTAACCATCTCAGTAAAAGCCAAAAACATACGGAATTACCTAGGGGGGAAAAAAATCTGTTGATCAACCTTCTGAGAGTGAATCTCTTGACATATACAAGAGACTCACAAATTTCTTGAAAGGTTTATTGTGGTAGAAATACCTTTGATCTAAAGTGACAGTATGGAGCTTTGGCCAGATGGCTTGGTTGGTTGTAGTGTTATCCTGTGGACCAGAGTGTTGTGGGTTCAGTCCCTGGGAGGCAGCCAGTCGGTGTTTCTCGAATTGATGTCTGTCTCACTCCCTCTCTCCCTCCTCCCTGCTCCCTTCCTTCCTCTCTAAAAGCAGTGAGAATATCTTGGTTGGGGAGGGAAGAATAACTAACTAGTATGAAATTAAAGGCTGTCAACCTTCAATGCCTACATACACGAAACTGGCTGAGAAAGATGAGCTGCAACCCTGTGTTACCTTTCATGAAAATGGAAGCATGACTCAGCAGAGCAGAACCCAGAATGGGAAGCTTCCAGTCCAGTGGGCAGGGCCCTGAACCACGCATCATGTTCCCAGGGCTTGATCCTTAATGTAGTTTGCCAGACTTGCTTTCCAAATATCTTGGGACTGGCATCTCTTTTTCCCTTCTATTTTTCTCCCCTTTTGAAACAATGTATGTAGCTATCATTCTTGGTCTGTTCCACCATTTTATTTGGGGGACAGTTACCCCGATTTTTAGTATCAGACCCACAGAGGAGAGATAATGCACCCCAGTGTGCATTACACCCAGCATCTCACCCATAACTGATTTTGACAGTTTAGATGATGAGGTATAGAGTTAGTCTGGCTCTCTCACCCAGATGATATCTGGGTAACTAAGATAAGCAGTTTCCCATAACTTTAAGAATGGGCCTAATAAACTGGTCCCATAACCTGGAGTGGACCCTCATGCACAGAATGGAGCTGTGTTGTATAATATCTTGGCACCCTGCCAGGTTTGTGTGCATGTGGTACATAAGGGAGTTGGGACTTCCCACTGTGTGACATGCAGGAACACGCTGGGGGACACACAGCTTGCAATGTGCATGTATTGCCCCACCCAAGAATAAAGGCATGTCAGATATCCTGGCAGCTCTGTGAATTTTCTTCCACCCGCCTGAATCCAGAGTGAACCAGTATGGCTTCGAACGGTCACAACACATGAGGACTTTGGGGCTCGTGAGGTTTGAATGTTGAGTCC